TTATGTCTTTTTCAATTTTGTCGCGTCATGTGTCCTTGATATTCTATTTCTCGTTTAGCCTTAAGGGAAAAGATTTAAACACAGATGAAATAAAACTCATCCACCTTGTAAAAGTAAATAACTATCTAAACTCACTAGTTCAGTAGACTTCATTAGCTCGTTGAACTGACTTTCATTCAGTATAGGGTTGTTGAGATTATTAAGTTTTTGATTGAGATCATGAATCGATTAATGTTAGACCACCGTTGAAAACTTGGAAGCATTGGACGGTCGTTTCGTCCTATTTCGGGACTCCTCAGTAGTACACATCCACGATCTTACTTGCGAGATTCGAACTCAGGGCTTTCAGTTTCACGCACGAACGCTTAATGATGGTCTAACATCAATCAGTTCATGATCTCAATAAAAAACATAACAATCTCTACAACACTATATTGATAATTACCATGTGCTCACTAGTGACTAGCTTTGTGAGGGAATTCTCGGAGATCTAGTGAGAAGCCGTGATCAGTGGAGCTAATCCATGTCGGGTAGAGATAGGTGTCTACCCCAATACAATGGAAGACAGTCGCGCAATTTCGTGGATTGGTTGATATTAGACACTAAGACTATTGGATGCCGGCTCAGTGGTCCAGTAGGTTGAGCGTTCGCGCGCGAGAGTGAAGGCCCTGTGTTCGAATCCCGCGGGTCGGGATCGTGAATCCGCACTGCCAAGAAGTCTCACAATGGGACAAAACAGCAGTCCAGTGCTTCCAGGTTTGCAATGGTGGTCTAACATCAATCGCTTCATGATCTTGATCAGTCTCTTGTTGGTATATGTGCATCCTGTGCAAACTGCCTTGATAATGCCTTAAGTCACAAGCATTATAAGGGAAAATGGATTATGGCTTGTAGTGGAATCTAGGTAGCGCGTTTCATTCTATTTAGGACTTATCAGCAATATGTACCTGCATCTCAGAGTTGATATTTACTTGGGGATGCGAACCCAGTACCGTTCGTTTTAAACACTGTCACGTTATCCACTGAACTATTGTAACGCGATGGCGTTTTAAGCAATCGGTACTTTGTTCGTGTCTTGGAGTGAACGTCAACTCTGAGATTTAAATACATCCAGCTGATGAGTCTCAAATAAGATGAAACGCGTGTCTTGGATTTCACTACTAGCCACTATTCGTTTTCTTAAACTTATTAATGAAAAGAAATCCCATCAGTTGATTACTAGAATCTGCTGATTTGAAACATAAAATTCATTCTTAATTGTTCATTAACTTTACAATTAATAACTAATCAAACAATTTGTGTTTCAGTAGACTGTTGATGATTTTCAGAATTATGTATTTCAATTAACTTCGTTAGTTTAAATTTATCAGGTTGATAACCAACTCAAACTATGTGACTGTCAACTTCATCTCTAGTTCCAACTGAAATTTCTTCATGTCAATTATGACATCACTTTGTCTAATTGAAATTTTTCAGTAGTTGTTATCATGATTCATTTGTAGCTAGACCAACATGGAAAACCTGAAAGCACTGAACGGCCGTTTCATTTTATTGTAAGACTCCTAAGCTGTGCGCATCTACGATCGCATTTTGCGGAATTCGAACACAGGATCTATCGGTCCCGCGTGCGAACCCTCAACCTCAAGAACGTTGAGACCGCCAGCACCCAACGGTGTTAATAGCTGAGTTCAACTAATCCACCAAAATTTCCCAACATATCCACCATTGTCTTTTGATACTAATTAAAATGTCTTGTAGAAACATATTCACCCCCAAATACCTTGTTACGGCCGAGAGTCAGAAGAGTCAGCTCTCTCTCTCTTCAAATACGCTCACATGGCCATGCGTATGCAGCCTCTACCAGGGAAGTCCTACTCACTGCATTCCCGCTGCAGGAGACTTGAAAAACCTTGATTCCAAACCAATGGCGCACCTGGGTTCCAGTATCCTGATGAAACAAATCATGTATGAACATATTACTGGTTACCGGCTATCATGGGCATGCATCTCCTGACGTTGATCCACTGCCTTGTGGATCAGACCTTTATGTCGAAGGCTCCGGATGTGGTACCCTAAGTATGACACGACCCCGCCTAGCGGGATTCATGATTTCAGCTATTGAAATTACTAAAATCTTCACAAAACCCCTTCTGATACATAAATTTATGTGAATTAATGTCACATTGAACAAGTCACACTAAACTGTAACCTTGACTACATGACATATTAGAGATGGTTGTTATGGTTACTACATGTAAAATCTTATAAAAATGATATTTTGAATATTCATACATTATTTATGCAATCCATTTCTATTCAACAAATTATCCTTATTGATTAATTACGTAAGTAGTCTTATTGTTTTTAAACCATTATGTTTTAAGTTGCATTGGAATTTGATGAAGTAGTATATTCTCTATTTATTAGATAAATGGTAAACTGTAAAACATCTTTTGTAATGATTTGTTTCTAGATTTTATCGTTATACTTACCCCCTCCCCTCATCCTCTAATGCACCTAGTGACCAGCTTCAAAAAAGATCTCTTGGAGTTATAGTGTGAAGCTATGACCAATGGAGTTCAATCAGTGTCAGGTACAGATAAGTAACTATCTCAGATAATGGATGAATGATTGTGCAAGATCATGGATCGATTAAAGTTAGACATTAAGACTGCCGGATGTCAACTCAGTGGTCTAGACGTTAAGAGTTGAAACATGAAACCGAGAGTCCTTGGTTAAGTTACTGTATGCAGGGTCATGTATGTGTACTGTTTAGGAGTCTCATACTGGGACCAAACGGCAGTACAGTCCTTTCAGGTTTTCAATGTTTACCTAGCTTAGATTGACTCATGAATTCAACTATTAAAATTATTACAATCTCCGAAAACCCATCATCATCTACTCACTAGTGATTGGCTTCACGAGATTTCTATTGATACGCCATAAGCAATGAAGTTAAACCGTGTCTGTTTTGAGGCGGTTACTCATTGGAGATAATGGTTGAGGTTAGACATTAACACTGTTGAATGCCGGTTAAGCATTCTCTCGTGAGACCGTAGGTCCTGAGTTCGAGTCCCACATGTGGGATTATGGATGAGCACTGATAAGGAGTCCAATACTAGGACGAAACAGCAGTCCAGTGCTTCCACGTTTTCTATGATGATCTAGATTTAATCGACTTATGAATCTAACTATTGGAAAAAAGAGAACAAATCAACTCACTGACTGATACTGAGATTAAATTTGAATTGGTCATACAATTTCAATCAAGTATCAGATAATGTATATCTCTTACATTCTAATTATTCTGGTCGTTGAAATCAATTGATTCGTATAAGGGATTTTACAATTGATCGATCAGTGAATAGTGATAAATGTCATGCCTGTCAGGTACTTCTTAGAGAGGATCGAATCTTATTGATTAATTTGAAAGTTGGCCACTAGGCTTTTGACTACTTTCAACGACCATCTTACATCTCAGCACAATGCATGTGATTTGAAGTCACTTAGACTAGTGATCACAATGCATTTCGATCGATTAAATTCGGTCATCATTAAGAAGTATTTGACATATACGACATTGATCATCATTCAGTAATCGATCAGCTTTAATACATCTTGGGCCAACAACAGATCATCAGTGTTATATCCGAGCAAAGATTAAATCACGAGTAACTTCTGAGACATTAATTGACTAATATTATCTATATATTCTTACGGTATAACTATTCATTAGTTAGGTTATGTATATTTATATTCCCCTTATCATAAGCTTCACTTTGACCTATAATTTATCACTGTACGATTTACTGTCCCTAAATTATGCTCAGTTTATTAATCACTGTCTCCCACATTCACAGCCACTTTTTGGCCTATTTGTGTACACATGTTAGTTTCTATTTTATGGTACGTTGTGGTCTGCCCCATTGATATATAAACCGAGTATGTCTGAAATAAATGATTTGGTTCGATTTGGTTGATTCAGAAGCTGGTATTGTGTTCTGGACTCAAGAGGACGGAATAGAAGGACGTAGGACCCAATAGGACGCTAGACTGCTCAGACCGGTTGAACGTCATTGGTCTTGTCATAGTGCGTATATTCGTATAAGCCATATTCTGATTGGTGTATAAGTCACGTGATCGTAAGCCGGACATCAAATCATAACAATCAACTACCTGAATAGTTCAGTGGTAGCGTTTTGAGTTGTGGTGTTTGACAGCGCGGAATCATATTCACTCAGATATATCGGTTCTGTTAAGCTTGTCGGCACACTTCCCTGAAGAGTGCCAAGTAGCAATCAGTTGACTGTCTCCATCTATTAATTTACAAAATATAGTGCTTTTTACGAGAGTCTCAATTGATTTTGGAGGAGTTATGCTCTCTGATTTGGATCATTCTACATAAACATCAGCTGTTAAACTCTAAGACACCATTGGACTTCGGCAGTAAGTCTAATGAATTGAAGCATTAGGGTGAGAAAACTTAAAGAAAACTAAAGAATTTTCTAGAAGCCTGAGATTCAAGTAACTCAGCAATCAATAGACATATGGCAATCAACCAAATTGTTTAGTGTATTAGATAGAGAACTATAAGGTTATAGATTAATCAAAAGAATAGGACAATTAAAATAAATGTACAAACAATGACAATATAATTATAATTACAATTGATTGATTACTGGATGGTGAACAATGTTATGTATGTCAAGTCCTTCTTATCGCATATCGAATGCTATTGACCAAGTTGCCTAAAGAATACAGGTACACCTTGCTGACGTGTGCTAAGTAGCACAAAACCCAGGTCCAGGATTTCCTGTTGACTAATTTCAATCATCATCGAATGATTAAACTTTAATCCTTTAAATTTAAACTACTGATCTAAACTATAAACATTTTATAATCATTACAAATCCTCCCTCCCCCCCCCTCCTCAGTAACTAATGGTATCAAAATATTGATTTATTATTATTATTCTTTCTATAGAATAAGATATTTATAAAATGAATATATCACCATCGAAACTAAATTCAAAACCAAATGAATTAGAAACTGTTAATGAAGAATCAATTATAAAAGATACAAATACAAAATCATTTATGAATGATGGAATGAATCAAGAAAGAAATTCTAGATTAGATATATTATCAAAAGCTAAAGGAGTTAAAAGATTATCATTGATAAAACATTCAAGTAAGTTATTATGTAATATTGTTATGCAATGTAATAGTTGAAATCATCAATCAATTCAAGTTAGACTATTATGAAGAACCCTGAAAGTCACAATTGATTAATTACTGGGTGATGATCAATGTCATATGTATCAAGTCCTTCTTAGTGTAGATCAAATGATATCGATCAAGTTACAATGTAGCCATTAGTCTAGGTGACTTGATATTGAGATAAGATGGTGGTTGATAGCATTTGATCTATACTTAAAAGGACTTGACACATATGACATTGATCACCACCCAGTGATCAGTCAATTGTGATTACATCTTAGTCCTATAGGAGGTTAACGTCTTTGACTATGAAGCTGGGTGACACGGGATTGAATTCATCAGAGAGCATTAGTTCCCTCAAGATGACAAGTAGCAAGAAACCTGGATCCAGGGTTTCCTATTGACTACTTCCAACCACCATCTTAACCCTGGAAGTATTAGATGACCATTTTGTCCTAGCACGAGACTTGTCAACAGCATGGATTCAAGATCCCAACTTGTGAGATTCAAACCCAGTCTTGTGCTCCAGCGCTTAGCTTCTAGGGTGATCTAGCTTAAATTGACTCATGAATTTAACTATTAAATTACTAAAGCATTCACAAAACTGTACTCTGATTGTTATATCAGCTTATATTGATGACGTGATATCAATCAATAAAGACAATGTGTAATTGTAAAGACTGAAAATTTATGATTCAGTTGATTAGATGTGGAATAGAGTTATTTAAAGGAGACAGTTGTTTATATCTATCAATATGAGCTGAAATAATATACATGTTTATGCAGGTTTAATGGAATCATAATGTATAACAATTGGTGATCTTAGAAAATGGTCCTAACAAATGCAACTCAGTTGTTGATTAAGATCATGAATCGATTGATGTTGGACCACCATTAAAAACCTAGAAGTATTGAATGACCGTTTCGTTCTATTATGAGACATCTCAGCTATGTGCATCGACGATCTCGCTCGTCGGATTCGATCTCCACAACCCCATACTGATAATAACTCAACTTACTTCATATTGAACAAGCTTTGCAGTACACATAACACATATGCTGACAATCAGTAAGAAGATGCGTCAGTAATGACGAATTATGAATACTCACTAATTTCATGGTATTTCGAAAAGTTGTCCGACTACTTCTCATGTCATATCATTTTCGAGGTGTTGATATTCCCTCGTTACAATATACACTTTCATTATTCTATTAAAGAAACATCACTGGTAAGCTGAACTTTCGAAATTGTGTACATGTAGCTGTTTGTAAACTGATGCGTCATTACAACTACACGTCACAATGAGAGAGTATAAAGTGATTGTCTGAATTGTGCATTTTACAATGCACACGTCATTATAAGTGATAACAAGTAGTTTGAAACGATCTCAACAGAACAACACGCATCCCTTTCATCTTGTCGGCTTTGATTGATCTTCTTATACTCCATCATGTATTAACAATCACAATTACAGATGGAATTCTGTATGAATCAACTTGATGGAAGTCACTTCATGCAACAACGATATAAATCATAATGAATCATCTGAATCAAGGGTAGTTTCCACAAAATCGATTACAGTACTGGTATTGGTCAGCTATGAAAGAGCCTTGATTGTTTGTCTGTAAACCACTTTTAAACATGTAACCATATCGAACTGAGATTTTAGGTTGGTCGGATATTGATAAATGACACAATTAAATATCGTAATGGAAGTAAGTCACATGCTTGTGTAAATTTACCAACGATCTGTGAGACTGATGTGAATCGTATATTCACATGACAGTGACTCTTACAAAACGTTGTCTAAGCAAACAGAACCTAATGAAAAGAATGAATGTCGTTGTGATCGCACATCCATTCGGTCAAACGATTCGTTTCATTCAACGATATACATTCCTCACCAAAAAATGTAACTGAACCAATTCCGTTCAAATTTACACAATCTTTTCACACTATTCATATTGAAATCAGTAGTACATTAGAACTGTTCAATATTGTCAATTCTCGAATGAATTCATTATCTTCTTATTCACACAGTCACAGGACAATCTCAACCACAAACTCCAGCCAGTTGTCCCAATCGTTCACCATTATCCTCTATTAACACATCTCTCAATGGTCCAATATCTGCAGTCGAAACAAATAAAATATTGACTTTTCGAGAAGTTGATCATCCAACAGGTGTTATCACTAGTAGTAGGAAGATCAGTCAAAATATTCAATCATCATCATCCTCACTCACATCATTAACAAACACTAGTCGACCACCATTATCACTCTTGGGTATTCTGGCTGCTAAACGAATCACACGGAAATTTCTATCAACATTGACTGATGAGAGACATCAACGACGTCTGAGTACATTCAGTAGACTATGTAAGTTATCTCAATCTTCATTTATAATAGAATTTTTACCAATTGTCAAGTCCTAAATAACTAACCTAATATACTCTGAGTGGTTATTTGTGTAGCGTATAATTATTTTGAATGGCTATAACTTCTTATCCTAAACAGTCAGTTTACTATACGACAATCTAATGGAGCATAAGCGGCAATATTGTTTACGGTCGGTGTCGAATTCATTTCCCTAAACATATCCAGGTGATACACCTTCCTTTCAAGTATGCAGTTGGATCTGTTGTGCGATCAACAATGATCTTTATTCAGTTCTCATGGGTTATAAATGTAAAGTCAACTAGATTGTTACCTACTGTCAATAAATATCTTCATCATATTCTTAGCTATAAATGTTAACAATGATCGATTAGTTACTCAGTATGTTGCTATTAAATATTTGATTGATCACTGGAGAGTAATACACATTCATAGGTTAGTAACGTTTCATGATGTTAATGAAAACTATTTATCGATCACAAAGTGATCTATATAAGCTGAACATTAAACCAGCTTGTTGCTATCTGAACTGAAGAGATGAAACGTTGATATTTCAAATGAAAGATTTAACATTCAAATCCTCATGTGACTATCACCATTGAGATGAAGATAAATTCAACTGACTAGCACCATATAAGACATAACTTATGGTCTATATTCTATTGAACCGGTACATTCAACATGGTCTTAGCCATTTTAGTAGATGTAGATTACTTGTTTGGGGTTCTCATGACTATCGTAACCAATGGTTAGAGACTGTGTGTGATATGGCACAGGATCGATCACAATGGTATATGTGTATACACTCTCTGTCTTCCTTTCTATCAACTAATTCTTTCTTCATATACTATATCCTTACATATAATCCTTCTTTTATATATTACCACCATTTAATTATCTAACATCTATGAATTCGTGGTTCATCTTGTTGTGCTAATGAGTTATGGCAAGTTGAACCGATTTATATATATGTGTCTGATCCTATGTTGTAACTGAATGACTGACTGACTGATTCCTTTTTGATATCGATTTATTTAGCCTCTTATAGTCCAGCATCATACAATTTAATCAATTATCTGCCAACATTTCAATTAGGCCCAAAAGAAGTATTCAATGTTAGTAATGTTAAACCTAGAATAGAACAACTAGTTCAATCACGTATTGAATCACTTCCATCAACTTATGAACGTTTTAAAGCTAGTCGATTATGTATTTCATTGACCAATGAAATTAAAGCAATGCTCAAAGCTCATGGAGAAGAACGGTCAGTTTGATGATAATCTTTACTTTATTATTGATGATATCATTATCTTCATTTATTGATATACTTGAATGCTATTACGAGTTCACCTTACTCGGTAAACGGAACGAAACTCAAAGATGCAGTAATACGATAGGCTATTCTAATCCGTTGTTCCCGACCCTGCTAACTAGATCAAGAAGTCTTGATGAGACGCAGAGAATGTATTCTACAAGCACCTAGAAAATACAAGGTCACTAAGCACACAAATCAAGCTTATTTATACAGTGATCGAAACACCCTTGAGAGAGCCACAAAATAGCGTATTAAAAAATCCATCAATCAATGACAGTCAAGGATATCTGAATGGGAAATGTAAGCTGTAGGTTAACTAAGCGTCCCTTGGCGCGAAAACATAAAATTCAAATTTTCAGAATAAAATTGCAGTATTAGGACTTTTTCCAAGTGAGTTCTGGGGATCTTACGTTCTCAACACTTATCTTACTTACTTTTGAATAATAGATGAATGATATCATGATCGAAAAGTCGAATATCACCAATATGGTCAACATATAAACGCGTTTACTTGCTGAAATCATTCTTGGTAGATAGTACCCGATATTGTGATCGATATTTCACTTATCTGCTCTAAAGTGAAGCTTTAGTTATTCTCTACAACTGTGTATTTAGTGGTTTACGTTATGTGGGGACAGTGATTACATTGTTCTGATTCGATCTTAGAATCTTGAGTTGGTGGAGAAGATTTGTAGCTCGGGTGAATGATTTTGATGGAGTTTTGTTCTCTGAGTTGGATGGTTTGGTCAAACCAATGGAAGATACAATCAAAACAAAGAAGTAAACAATGACAATTTTAAGGTTAACAAGAACTAATCTACATTGACATCTACAGGACAAGTTGTGAATCCTATATGGAGAAATTCGAACACTGAACTTTTATCTGAAGTTTGTGCTGATGATGAACGATGAAAGCTCTATGACCAAACCATCCAGCCCAGAGAACAAAACTCCATCCAGCTCATAGAATCAATAATTTCTTAAGGAAATCTTCTCAGTACTTGGCATTTGTCCCCTCTTAACTTAGGACATACATGTAGAATACATTTTCAATTTTAGAAATCGAAAACTAGTTATTAAAATTTACTACAATATCCACAAAAACCCCATTCTGATAACAGTCAATATGTGCGCACTAGTGACTGGTTTCATGAGGAATTTCTTGGCGTTGTAGTGAGAAGCTGTGACTAGTGGAGTTCAACCGTGTCTATGTGAGTCAGTGATTCACTGATGACAATGGTGGATGGTGGTGCAATATCGTGGATTGATTGAAGTTAGACATTTCATTGGATGTGAGCTCAGTGACCTAGAGGTTAAGAGTGCGCCCAGATAGACTGAAAGTTCGACTGGATGCATACTGAGAAGAAGTCTCATATTAAGATGAAACGATCGTTCAGTGCTTCCAGATTTTCCATGTTGGTCTAACTTTAATCGACTCACAAGTTCAACTAATAAAGAAGGATATTCAATGTGTTCACGGACGAACTAAATATAAAAATAGTCTCATAGAATAGAATGAATTGATTGAACAAACTACTGATCACAAAACTGTTGGCTATTGAATAATATTTCATGTAGAATGATCACTTCCTAATCCATTGTGGTAACCCCTCATAGGTTCGAATCCCATCTCCATTGTCAGTTGTTATATCTACAGCTTAGATTCTTGATATACTGCATACAACTTGAGTACTCTATTACTAGAAACCTCCAAGTCCCAAATGAGAAGACAATATATGAATGCAAAGGAATACTATAGTTTATAGTAAAAGCGATATCATCATTCATAGTCATTCAATCCGCATACATAAGTTTTTAGTATTTATCTAATAGGGAAGCTTCATGTAGAAATTTTGAAATGTTCTTCCAAAAAATGATTGGATGGAATATCTTCAGCTCTTTCCAAGCTTATTAGAGTTTCCTTATGTTTATCCATGGATCGTTTTCACATGAACAATTGTAACATGATTAATTTTCTTTCAATAATTGAGATCATGAGTCAATTGTAGCTAGACCACTATGGAAAACCTGGAAGCACTGGACGGTCGTTTCGTCCTATTATGGGACTTTTCATCAGTACGCATCTACGATCCCGACTCGTGAGATCTGAACACAGGATCTATCAGTCTCGCGAGCGAACGCTTAATCTCTAAACCACTGAATCGGTTAGCATCCAACGGTATTATTCGCTAACTTCAACTAATCCACGAAATTGAGCGACATATTCCTTATTGTCTTCAGTGAGTTACTATCTCACAACAGACCAGGTTAAACTTCACTGGTCACTGTTTCTCACTAGAATTCCATGAAATACCTTTCGAATCCAGTCAGTGGTGAGTACTGGTTGATTAATATCAGAAGAATTTCTGTGGACATTTTAATAGTTGACATCATGATTCATTTGAAGCTAGACCACCATTGAAAACCTAAAAACACTGAAAGATTATTTCGTCCTATTATGGGACTCCTCAGCAGTGCGCTTCCACGATTCCACCTCACGTGATTCAAACACAGAACCTATCAGTCTATAGTATACTATAATATCCACACAAACCCCTTCTGTTAATATGTATATCCCTTTTTTTAAACAATTTACTTTCAGATATCGTTATTTAGTATTTTGTTTAGTAATGCAAAATTGTAAACAAATGGCCGGATTCACTAATCGTGTCTTATGGGATATGAATTATGATCGGTCATTCTATGTGAATCAAATAAATACATCGTATTGTATATCGGTGAATTGTTTTATTGTGTACAAAGAATAAACTGATTCCAGTATTATGGTTTGTTTTTTGATTATATGGTAGATTGAAACAGATAACAAATGAAATAATGTTTTTGAATGAGATAATGAACCGATGGAGAACATTGAAGACCGAGGTAGAGAAGGGTTCCATGGAATCAGCAGGTGACCATGGGTCAGGCCGTCCTAAGTGATCCAGTAAATCGGAACAGATACGGGGTGCCTGACAGTGTCCGTTCGTGTGCTTTGTTTAGTATACTGAAAAGTACTGTTGCATTGAAGCCCTTTATAGCGAAAAGGGGCTGATAATTACCATGTGCTCACTAGTGACTAGCATTATGAGAAAATTCTCGGAGTTCTAGTGAGAAGCTGTGACCAGTGGAGCTAATCTGCGTCGGATAGAGACAGGTGTCCACCCCAATAAAATGGAAGATAGTCACGCAGGTTCATGGATTGGTTAAGGTTAGACATTAACACCATTGGATGTCGGCTCAATGGTCCAGTAGGTTAAGCGTTTGCGCGCGAAACTGAAGGCCCTGTGTTCGAATCCCACGAGCTGGATCGTGGATGCGCACTGCTGAGGAGGGTCACTTTAGAAAGAAACGGCCGCCTAGTGTTTCCAGGAATTCATTGGTTGTCTAACATCAATCGTTTCATTATCTCAATCAAAAACTTAACAATCTCCATAACCCCTAAACTGAAATGATGTTTATTCTCTTCGTATCAACTCACTTTTTGTATTTGCTTTTATACTACTTATTAATAATTAGTAGGCTCTTCTATGCTTAACAATCCAATGATACAATAAACAGGTTAGCAATGTAATCGACAATTGATAATAGTAACTACCAGTATTGGAGTTGTGGTGATTATTAAGTTTTTGATTGAGATCATGAACTGATTGATGCTAGACCACTATCGGAAACCTGGAAGCATTGGACGACCATTGCGACCTATTGTAGGACTACTGTATGATGTTTATTCACATGTTATTCACTTCAAATCAATTAACTTTTTGTACTTGCTTTTATACTACTTATTAACAATTAGTAGGCATTTCCATACTTAACAATCTCTGGATGTGTGTATTGTAAAATATATATACATGGATTGTATTTATTATTATTATTATTATTATTATTATTATTATTATATTCTAACCCTTGTTCCCAATCAGTCAGTCAGCTACACCGTAGGACCCGGCACGTATATGCATCGGTTCAAGTTGCTACACCTCATTAGCACAACGAGATGAACCATGAATTCATAGGAGTTAGATAATTAAATGGTTGTAATATATAAAAGAAGGATTGCATATAAGGATATCATACAGGAAGAAAGAATTAGTTGTTAGAAGAAAAGATATGAAATAATTTTAATCTCATAGTTTAAGGGGAGACAGAGAGTGTATTCAGCGACGCCATTGTGATTGATCCTGAGCCATGTCACCCACAATCTTAAACTATTGATTACGATAATCGCGCGGACCCCAACCAAGTAATTTGAATCGACCCACATGGCTCAGACTAAAAGTGAATAACTTCAATCACTGATGCTACGTTTTGCTATGGCCACGCCTAAGTCTCCTCCAACTATCCCTAACACTAGTCAGCATTACGCGTTGTTCTCACACTCATCATTCCCTGTTTTCGTCCTCTTCTCTTCGATCTACATAACCTTCTGCAGCTAGACATTTCACTTTCAATTGATGATACATACTACATATGTATATTTCATGTTAATAAGACCGTACCTTAAACAAATTATTGATTTTTTTCGAACTTCGGTATTACGTGCATCTCAATCATGTGATGAGATACTTCAATAGAATTCAAGGTAATTATGATTGACACTATACTGAAAGACTCAATAAATTACCACTAGAAGTGTCAATATGTAGATGTCTTTTGTATTTTCCATAATGTTTTCATATATTCAATTTGTGGTGGTTGGTATTCAATATAATCCTTAAACTTCGTATACAGTTCGTCTTGATAACCGTTACTAGATAAACGCCCCAAACAGGTTGTATTAATCAGAAGGTGAATACAAAGTGTTAATTACATTTCTTATTGCAACCATACATATATATCCAAAGTTACAAGTACGTTAAGCAAATATGATAGAGTAGTACTGAAGTGCAAGTGACTGATAGTAAGGCAAGCAGAATGAATATATGCATAAATAGTAAACAATACTCAAGCATACATATTTATATAAGTGCAACAATAATAATAAAGGTACAATGGTATAGATAAAGTGTTATGGTATGAATGACTCTATCCGTTAAAATCAATTAACAAAAGGGTTTAACAAAATCAAATGTGAACAAACTCAATTGTACATGGATTATAAGCAAAGATGGATAGTGGCTAGCAGTGAAATTCAGGACGCGAGTTTCGTCCTATTTGGGACTTGTCAGCTGGATGTATCTGCATCTCAGAGTTGATGTACATGAATTACTATAAAACACGTTTCATCGATTGAAAAGTTTGATTATTATTTGAGCCTACTAATAAATATGAAACATTATTGAAATTATGAACTAATCTAACTCTGCTCTGTCCTCGTATGGATTTCGTTAGTAGTGTGTACATCAACCACTCTCCTACAAAAAAACTGAACTTAAAACATTTTCTTTCACACATGAAGGTTTAACCTTCAATTTAACTGTTCGATTCCAATCAATCCACTATATTGAGCGATCAATTTCTAGTGTCTTTGACAGATAACATCCACACATCTGACAGAATTGAACCCTCATTGGCTAAAAACTGAACTATCCGGGCCGCGACCGACCTCTTGTAGGACTGAGACGTAATCACGATTGAATGATCACTGGGTGGCCAATATCATGCGTGTCTAGTCCTTATTATTAGTGCAGATCGAATGCTATCGACCATGTTGCAATGTGGCCACCAGTCTAGGTGACTAAAAACTGCAGGCACTATTGTGTCGAGTCAGCTAGACTGGTGGCCACATTTCAACGTGATCGATAGCATACGATCTGCACATATAATAATAAGGACTAGACACGCATGACATTGATCACCACCCAGTGATCAATCAATTCTGATTATTAACCTCTCAATTGCGAACGATTATTAATATTTTCAATGAAACCAACTGATTATATCATGGTTTATTTCATTATTCCTTGCTAAAGCTATCATCAATATAGGACTAGGCACACATATATTCATCGGTCCAAGTTGTCACACCTCGTCAGCACAACAAGATGAACACCGGATTCATAGAAGTAGTTAATCCAGTGGTGGTAATATATAAAAGAAAGTTTGCATATAAGGAGATAGTACAAGAAGGAAGAATTGGTTCGTAGAAAGAAAGATATGAAGCGATTTTAATCTCAAAGTTTAAGGGAAGACAGTGAGCGTATACACCTACGGTGTTGTGATCGATTGTGAGCCACGTCACACACAGTCTCAAACGATTGATTATGATAGACATGCGGACCCCAGCCATGTAGTCTGAATCTATCAACATGGCTCAGATCAAAAGTAAGTGACTTCATGGACTGGTGTGACATTTTCATCTGAATTGATCATGTTACCATAGAAACATTCAACTTTAACCAACTACATTTCTGTAAATTAGCTTTGATACAATGAAAACAGTTTTGAATAATCAATTTGGTTTAAGAGTTATTTAATAAACTGTCTGATTGAAATGGAAAGTGTTTCATCAGAAAGGAGATCAATTCAAAATTTAGTTGATTCATACGAGACAGTAAAAATATTTGAAAGGAGGCGTATAGAAAAGTTAAAAGTGTCAGGATGGCTTCCAATGCGTGTTTGGTGCGATTTAAGACTTGTCGGCTGAATATAATTTGATCCTTATATCAAAAGTTATATCTTGGAGTTCTAGTGAGAAGCAATGACCAGTGGATTTCAATCGAATCTGTTATGAGATAGTGACTCACTGAAGGCAATGGTAGATGTGTCACTCAATTTCGTGGATTCGTTGTAATTAACCATTAATACCATTGGATATCGACCGGTCCAGTCGTCTAGAGGTTAAGCGTTACTGCGCGAGATCGATATGTCCAGGGTTTAAATCTCACGAGACGTGATCATGGATATGCACTGCTCAGGAGCCCGATAATAGGACAAAACGGCTGTCCATTGCTTCCATGTTTTCCATGGTGGTCTATCTTCAGTTAACTCATAATTTCAACGATTAAAACTACTAAAATCTCCACAAAACCCCTATCTGAAAATAAGAAATGCACATACATAATTACTTACTCCTGTTACCCCCAATGGAGCATAGGCCGCTGACCATCATTCTTCAACACTCTCTGTCTTGGAATTTCCTTTCCAGTTCTATCCAATTTTCATTCATTCTTCTCATGTCTATTTACATTTCGTGGCGTAATGTGTTCTTTGATCTTACTTTTCTCCTCCTTTGGCCTTGAGGATTCCATATAAGGGTTCAACTTGTGATGTATTTAGGTGCTTTCTTCAATGTGTATCCTATCGACTTCTAGCGCTTATTCCTGATTTCTTCCTCCGCTTAGATCTGGTTTGTTCTTTCCCATAGTAGGTTGTTACTGATAGTGTATAGACAACTGTTAATAAACACTAGTGTTTTCTGAATGATGGCTTTCATAGTTCTCCAAGTTTCCACCCCATACAGTAGAAATGTCTTGACATTTACATTGACCTTGATGTTGGTTGACAATTGTTTTCAGTCCCAGATGTTCACACATACATACATTAACACTGGACGTCCGTTTCGTCTTATTATGAGACTGCTCAGCAGTGCGTATCCACGATCCCGCTCGCGGAATCTAAATGTAACTACTGAAGAAGAAGAATAAATAAATTGTATTGTCCAATAACTAGAATAATTTATATAGACTTTAATAGGGCACTTAACACTACCGTAAACTATAATGTAATTTATCGATCCAATAACAAAATTGTACAGTAATTTGAAGAAAAAAAAATCAACAAACTTTGATAAATGAACTATGATGAGATGTACTCACCATATAATATA